TATTATTATTACCTGACCGCAAAGCGAAAAAGACGTTTTAACGTTTGCAGTCTGTGGGCGTTGCACTTTCAGCGTGATGGCTGCTTCCGTACGAGCACTGCACGGCTCCACGAGTGGCCGTGGGCATCTGCAGAATAAAAGAGACTATATTACATCAGCGGCCTCGTCCTGTCGGAGCGCAGGCACAGAGCCTGTTCCTGTGCCCTTTCGGTGGAATTTGCTCACAATTCCTTGGCGACATGCTGGGCAGACAGTAAATATCACAGAGGGTTTAGTGCTCCATTCATTAACCTTTGAAGCTTGTACGCTACCTCTCTTAGCCCACCAGCGCTGATATGCTGTTGTCACGCTGTGTTTAACGCCTTAACGTGCGGATTAAAACCCACGGGCGGCGGTTCACGTTGCTGGCTCTGAGCTCTTTTGCTCCTCGGGTCCGATTGGGGGACTGACATTTTTAGTGGGGTTTCGGCTGGTTCTCCAGTGACGCCCTGTCCATAAGTCAGATTGTCCCTCTGGGTGCCTCCCGTCCCTGAGACGTGCTTCAGGTATAGCCTGCGGGTTCCGATCGTTACCGCAAATTTTGTGCGGATGGTCTTGCTTTGAGGACTTTCAGAGTAAGAGTACCCTAGTTTTCCAGGTCTATGGAAAATAAGCTGTCCGAAGGCAGTTCTTAAGCTTTCAATATCTGTGTCGTACGCACCAGCGCCAAATGCGATCTTTAAAGGAGCCGAAATGCAGTACCGACAACAGACACTCTTTGACAGCCCTCGGCTGGTAATTGTCCCCAGATTCCAATTGGAAGACGCACATTTGGCCTCGATGGACCTCCGATTAAACAGCACAGCATGGAGAGGATGCTTTGAAGACGTGTCCAGTGCCAGAAAAGAATGGATTGCAATAATACAACTTCTCACGATTCCTGTTAAAGTCCACCTATGGGAAGCGGATCATAGCAGCACTTCAACATGCCAATAACAGAGCTGTCTTAGATGAGCAGGAAAAGGGTTAATCTGAGTATGGAAATTCTATTTAACGGAAGTAACATTGAAACGACCTTGTGCATTTGAAAAACCTATTGTCATACACAGTCTCTCTCACACAGGCACACAAGCATAGAGACACTCTCACACCCAGGTACACAAACATGTAGACACTCAATCTAACGAAGAAAGGTACAGAAACATGTAGACTCACACACTCACACACACACACACCCTCTCTCTCTTTCATGCACACACACACCACACTTTGAAAGGAAATGGTATTTTCCTGGCTGGGAAGAGGGGTCTCCCAGGGGGCCAGGAAGCATCAGATGAAAGATGTGATAATCATCCTAATGGGCTGCCTCTTGCATCAAGGAGATTGAGACACAAGAAAAGAAAACAAAACCAAAAGAATAAATAAATAAAATCACAGTGCATAACACAGAAACTTCATTGGCCCAGGAAGAATTAAGCTCCCAAATTGCAGCTCCTGTTATTCTGCTCTTTGATCCCATGTAAACCAAGCACCCCTGCTGTTCGAAATTTCATCAGACGTGAAAGACATACAGGAGTTTTCCGGCGTGCTTGTTGGGGGGCCACCTGCTCATTCAACGCGCAAAGAGACCATCCCCCCATTTTCTTTTCTTGAAATGAGAACAGAGCTGCTCCAGTTTCCTCCCACAGCCCCAAAGACATGTTGGTACCGTTCCCATGTTTGTGCTGCCAGAGCAAGCAAGGACACGCGGTTCGTCGGCTCCTGGTGCGAGAGGGAGCGTCCGTGTCCGTTTGCGCCCCCTAGCGGACTGGTGCCCCGTCCAGGGCGTCTCCTGCCCGCTGGGACACGCCCTCCCCGTGTCCCTGAGCTGGGTGAAGCAGTTAGACATTACATGGAGGGAAGAAAAGAAAAAAAAAACAGCTCAGGTATTCAAATTCCTGAAAGTCACTGCCTGCGTCAATCTGAGTGGCCTTTTCCCCTCTCCTGCCCTCTCGGGAATTCCGGGACTCAGGAATTCCGGGCTTGTGAAATCCCACCTCGTTCGGGCGATTGGGAGATTTTTCCAAAAACAAAAGCAGGCAAGGGCGCAGCGCTGTGGTACAGTAACATTTCCAGACCTCCGTCCCGGCTATCACTCTGATGATGTGCGCCGTTTCCTGCCAGAACAGAGCGCAGACCGAACAATGGCGGGACTGTTTGCATTCATGCATGATAGCCGAGCGACGCCGTTGGAGATGCTGCTTTATTGGCAATTATGATCATTATGATCCACGGGGAGCCTGTGGCTCTCTCTTTTTTTTTTCTCGGGAATTGTGGAACAGGCGAGTATTGGAACCGACGCCGCACATCATCACACACACACATACACGCGCGCACGCCCGTGGGATTCGCGGAGAGCAGTGGACTGTGGGGAGGGGGGTCGAGGGGTGACTGAACCCCGGCCAGGTGGACAACAGCTCCGACTTCCAGTCTGTCTGCGCCTTTAACATCTCCTCCACACAGCGCGCTCAGAATACCACCAGGCTCTTCCACGGAGGAGGGGGCTAGTTTGTTTGCTCATAGACAGGTGCAGTTATTTGTTTTTTTCCCAATCAAGGTTCAAGACTGTATATTCCGCAGCCTGTAGTCTAACAGGGCCCCTGATGTTCAGAGGGTGTTACATCGCTTTATTCGCTTCAAAACGCGGACTTCTGTCCCGGTTCCGTAACACACTCATGTTTTTATGTTCCCTCTGCCTGGGTCCAGACGGCCCGTCCCAACCGTGACCCGAGACAGTGGGATCCCAGACAGGTCCCAGTTCTGACATTGCACGGATCGCCCAGGATCGATCAGAATTACCGCACCACAAACTCACTGGCTGGACCTTCCGACCTTTCAATCAAACGCCAGGGTCGCATAATCCGTGGCACAGTCCACGTTTTTCAGACCCTGTTTTTTTTTTTTTTTACCAAAACGGAGGCAAACAGATAAATACGCCAACACCGCAGCCTCGAAATTTCAAGAGTCAGACCACCGCAACAACGACCATCCCAGAATACCTTTGCGGTCCGCTTTCTGCGCCATTGGAGGACTCTACGCGACAGTCTGTTCGGCGTACGGCAAGCAAAAGGACACACGACTTGTTTCCACTACTTTTCATGCGCGTTGTGAAAAGTGTGACGCTAGACCTCGCTCTCGTCGCCCTGGGGGGGTGAGGTTTGCCGCTCTCGGCGGATGGGTGTCTCATGTAAGAAATATCATCAACAATTTATTAAATCCGCGGCCGGTATGCTAGCTTCCATATGCTGCCCATATCCCCGATTGCATTTCGCTTCAGGTGGGACATCAAATATTAATGACAGCGCCAGGGAGGGAGATCATTTGGAAACCTCACAGACACGCCAGAAATGCGTAGCCGCCTCCCGTGTGGGCCCCCGTGATTATAAACGCGGACAACTCCAACGGGAGAAATGTAATAAGGTATTATTTGTTTCCCGTGTGAAATTACGGGCATTAATCTTGTTCCTCTTTAAGCACTCACAGGACGGCGTGAGGTAAGCGGCCATTGATAAGAGCAGCCAATGGCTGGGCGGTGTTATGACGTCATTCGTCGATTCGCCTGCTAGGTTCTGAATAATTCTCCAGTTTCACGCCTCCTTCATCGCCCATTGTGCAAAATATGCCCATTGTAAAGAGTGCAAGTACATTCACAAGAGTAAAAATCAATGTAACGTGACGGAAAACACAGATGGAGGGTTTCTTTACCCATACTATGCCTTGGGAATTGAAATTCACAGTTCGCTATGAAGGCCTACTGTATATATCTATATGAAGTGGTCCGTTTTCAGTAGGCGCTCAGGACAGTACAGAGATTCAGGGAGCCTCAGAGTCTGAACTGGCCTCCGCTCTGAAGGGAAAGCCAGTCCAATGAAGGACAATTACAGACACCAGTAAAACTGCACACAACATCTATGAAGTGCAGGGAGGGGGGGGGCGAGGAACTTGCAGGCTCCACACAGAAGGAGCTCCTAGATTGGACACCCATCTCGGACACAGGCACTGTCAGGCAGCAGGGATATCCGCCTGTCCACCGTGACGCGCGTTAATGAATTGGATGGTTTATTAAAGTGTCCAGTGAGGATTCAGAAATGCACAGGCTTGCCTTTTATAAATCCCCAAAGCCTAGGCCCGCCCTCAGAATCGAGCATGAAAAACGGGACCAGAGAGGACACAAGCAGAAGCTCAGGGGGGGCGCACCTGAAACCGACCTTCGGCATAATTGCGTTTTAAACAGTCATATGTTCCCCGCTCCGGTCGTTAGTAATCTTATTTGCGATCTTATGAAAGGTCTAGTTCATTTTCCTCTCCAGCAGTCAGGGTCTTTTGGCGAGCTTGTGCGAATAACTCAACTATGAAATATTCATCATCGGAAAGCGGCGCGCAGATTTGACACGCTAATGATTTTTCTGTTTGAGCTTAATGCGCCCGGTATGCCGCGCCACGCGTCTCTCATGAATTATGGAGGTGGTGGAGCCCCCGCGAGTTTAATTAGAAACGGTAGTCTGAACAAGGCCGGCGCCCGATAATCGATAGAGTCTGACGAAGACGGCTGCGGGTGGAGGGGGCCGGGACGTCCAGCGCAGGTGGCGGGTTGTCCGAGACGGCAGTCTGGCCGAAGATGGCCCTCCTGTGTGCGGCGAGGACCTGGCAGTTAAAAGAGGGAAAACGCCACACTTTTAGGCTCCCTTCTGTCGCGACGTGCTGTGGTACACGACATCAAACGCCTTTCCCGTGTAACTCGGAGCGATTCCCGTGTTGACAGACGCGTCTTGGCGGAAGAGGGTTTCCCTGTTCGAACCCGGAAGAGCCACAGTCCAGCAGGCTGCGGGTGTCTCTTTACACCAGCAGCGCCTTAATTCAATTCAACTTTATTTGTCGTTATACTTACACAGGTGCATAGTATAGTGAAAAGTGTTTCTCATTAGTCACTCAGGTGCAGTATATGAACAGAACAGAAGATAAGACCATAGATAGTAACATAATACAACAACAGTATAATAACAGAACAGATCATCAAAATTGTGCAAATACGCAAACAGAGAGAGAATACAACACGACAAAAACAGTGCAAAAGTAACGAATACAGTTTTAAGTACAATTTCGGCTTCCATTCAGTTGTCGTGTATGTAGAGGTGTTGGAGTACAGTCATTGAGGGTACAGGGAGAGCTGAAGCAATCGGCTAACTGCTCCAGTGAAACCAGTGCCTGGTTTTAGTAGTTTTGAGGAGAAACCGGCGCAGCCCTCAGTCTTGAGTTGCACAGCCGTGTTGTATGATTATGATTTGTCGACGCGCCAGGGCGACACCGCGTATCTCTCGCTGTACTAGTTTGTGTCAGCTTCGTGTTTTCCATATGACCGGCTGTTTACCAAGCCGGGCCCAGAAGAAGCAAGACACGTTGTAAAGCGCTTCGAGATACAACTCGCTGGAGCCAAATTGTACTTATTTTTTTCCTCTGCTACTCAACTGCTCCAAAAAGCTTTCCGGGACCAGTCTGTGCATCGCTGAGCAGCCAGATACGAATTTCCTGAACACATTAATGTCATGGTATTGTGCCGTTTGTGCTGAAAGTTAAAAATACTAGGAAATTAACTTCCAGTACCCGGCTGGCCGGCTAAAAACCCGTCAGCAAATTTGTAAAAAAAAGGATTCAATGATTTTTCAGTGGTTCAGAATCCATTCAGAGGGCAACCGAGCTTCTCCAGGGGCAATTTCCAGTAATGCGCGGGTACGACACGAGGCGTCGCTGTTAACAGTTGTCAAAAAAACACTTTTCGATACCCTTGATCGGAGACGCGTTTGCTCGATAGATCTTTTGATCGAAGAGGGAGAGGTGGGGGGGAGCTCGCGTGCTCGCCTCCTGACGGCCCTGAAGGCCGATAACTGAAGCCAAACGGAAGCCCCTTTTTATGTCTTTATACTGTGCCGATTATTCTCATTCTCATGACGAGAGGCAGACAGGAAGACCTTGAGCACCACCAGGCCCCGGCAGGACGACGCAGGCAGAGGCGAGCGACGCTAACGTGTTTTTATATATATATATCTCTCTCGGCTTGTGTGCTGAGGCGGTGAATTATCATCTATTGTATTGTTATCAAGGTCCTCAGCACTTTCTCTCGCCCAGGCTTTTAACCGCATGATAACACAAAAGGTGTTTTCATCTACCGTATGTAGCTCATTCGTTTAAATGACTTTGTGGCGGCCGTTGTCCCCCTCGCCGCCCCGTTATTTCCTATCCACCTCACACACACACACACACACACACACACACACACACCGACCACACGGCCCCGGCCTACATCTAAATTCAACGCATCCGACAACGGAGCTGCAATTTGCAGTAATAAATGGGTTTTATTTAAATCCAACCTTGATCCTAACCGCAACTGTGGAGAGAAGAAAAATGGCCGGCGGATTAGATAGGATTGATGCAGCGAGCGTCAGTAATTGAGCCCGGCGGAGTCCCAGTTCTGTCCACTTGCAATGGATAAGCGTGACGCCGTTTAACACCGCTGGGAGGCGTGCCCAGAATCCCACAAGCCCGTAGGAAGACGCTCCAGAGGGGGGATTAATTTGTCTTTAGCTCAAGAGTGCAGAACGTTTGAGATTGTAGAAGCGTTGGTCCCATGCTGACAATAGGATGAATGGTGACATTAGAATTCCTATCTAATAATAAGGCATTGGATTTATATAGCGCCTTTCACCCCCAGTTCATTCTCCACAGCGGGCCGGATTGACATCAATCACCAATTACCTTTTTACACAAACAATCCATTATCGTTAACGACGTCTCCTCTACGCTCTCCAGCCCTTCACCTCTCCTGATGCGCTAATTTCACGCTATCCGTGCGAAAGTCTAGTCAAACGCATAAAGTTTAGGACTCTGCGCCCTGGCCGTGTAGGAACGAATGTGGGATGGGACGTGTGTGACAGAAACTGGAAAGGGCAGTTTGTGGCCGGGGTTGCTAGGGAGAATCTGGTCATGACCTTGTAGCCCCGGCGACACACCGCTTGTTCGCGGAGGTACCGCAGAGGTGCGCTGCAGGTCGTTCACAGAGAGCTCCCAGAGGCACGGTACTCTATAGGCTTCAGCCGTGGCGGCACCGGAGGGGGGGGGTTTAGGGAGTTACTGCTTGGGGGCACAGGAGGGAGTCCGAGGAGCGCCAGACAGCCCGAAGGCTGCCAGCGCGCTCGGGAAACGAGCCGCCTGCGAGCACGTACAGTAATGTACAGCCGACGCGGCACAGCGAATAGAGACGGAGGCGAGAGACGACCCCCGGGGACACAAACACAGCGACGACGAGGTGACGCTGAGAGGCGATAGAGACTGCTTCGTTTCAGCTACGGGGCCGACAGAATCGCGCGTCGTTGCTGGGACCCGCTGTTCTCTCTCTCTCTCTCTTTCTCTCCCTTTCTCTCTCTCTCTTGCGAGCGCTGTGCGCCGGAGCAGAGCGGCGGACAGAGACGAGAGGCGAAGTACTTCAGCGCAGCGCAGCGACCGCTGACCGCCGCCGCCGCCCCGCTCTCCTCTCGCCCTCACGCCCAAGACAACACTTAGATTGTACTCTTTGCTACTGGGTTTCTCCGGGCTCCTTGTGGCTCCGACAGCAGACGAGAGGAGCCGGGGGGGTTGCTGGGGGGAGGCGGCGTCACCTCGGAATTTGACCGCGGCTTGACCGGGGCTTGACCGAGGCTGCAGCCGGGAGCCGGAGACCCGCCGGCCGGCCGGGGCTCCGCCGGCACCCCGGCGAGGAGGCGAGGACCGGGGAGCTTTTCCCTCAGCGATAGAGAAACCTCTTCAAGCAGCGAAACTACCCGGGGCTTTGCTTGTTCAAACGCCTCGAAGTTACCAGATACCTTTTTTCTTCCATTTGGCTATTAGAGAAAAAAGAAAAGAAAAGAACCTTACTCGTAGTTTTGCGCGCAGAAGTCGTAGTGAAATTAGTTTCTCAGGACACAACTTCAGGGATGCAAGCCGTGTTGTCGTTGGGAGACGATGTTTTTTTCTTTGCCTGACGAGCGCCAACGCGCTTTAAACTCACGCCGCCCGCGTGGAATCGTTTCTTCAATGACAAATCCCTCCGGGTCAGAGCCCCACGCTTTTAACCCGCCTCTCCGGGAGAAGACGACGAGACAGGGGTTTGCGAGACGCCTCACGCGTCAGATCTGTCCCTGCGGGAGGGTATCGCAAGGTCGCCCAGAGTAGGTAAGCACGTCGCAGTTCGTAATCATCCCTTCGCGATGTTCGGGAGATTGGCAGGACTGGCGGACTGGTCTGAAAGTATCTGCCGGCCCAATCGGCTGGTCCACGCAGTCACCGGGAGTCTGCGAGGGCTCTGTTGGACACAGAAGCTCTCCAAACAGGTGCCCAAGCAAAAGCTGGTGCACTCGTACCAAGACCAGTACCAGTGTTACCAGTACCAGTGTAGGTAACCTACATTTTGCTAACACTAGTAAAAGACACTTCGCGCGGTCGAGATGAGCCGCTTTCTCTTGAGATCGGGTCGCACAGAAGTGGCTGAATCTCCTGACCGTTCACGAGAAGGAAACTTCGCCAATACGTACCAGAACCGACGGTTAAATATTAACCGGCAGGAAACAGATGGCGTTGCGTACAGCAAACACACATATCCGTGTCACATCGGCCCGGGGGGAACGCGTTGTGTCGGCTGTAGGGTCGAGCGAGGACGCGACGCGTGTGCTGAAAGAATTCGCTCCGCTGCAGGACACAAGTCGCCACAGCTTCGGATTCGTACCCGTAGCCGTCAGGGGGCACGACCGGCAGGGGGGGTGTTTTTGGCAGCGTGAGGAACCCCAGACGGCGAAACCGAACAGGGCTCTCCGGCTCGCGCTTCGCTCGTCTGGCCGGCTGTGCCGCGCGGCTCGTCGGCAGGGCTTCAGCTTGCGATTTCGATTTCGACTTCGATTTCCTTGTGCGGGCCGACTTTAAGAGCGCGTGAAAACTTACTGACGCAGACGACGAACGCGCGATCATTCTTGTGTTCATTCGTTTCACCCTGGAGGGGGGGGTCATTCTCTGCCTACGCCCCTGTCCGGTTTCTACCCAGTTTTGAAAGGTAGATGACGTAGATGGCGAGCGGGATGACTGCTTTTCTCTCTTGTCTCCCAGTCGCAGTCTCCTTCTCCCCCTTCGCCAGGCGGCACCCAGTACGCACGAATCCAACGCCAAGAAGGGTGTCAGAAACACCAAGAAACAGCGGGAAGGACAGGTGCTCTCGCCCAGCCGCTGACCACACTGACCTTTGGTCTGTAGGATACAAACACTACACAGTCGACAGAGACCGATAAAGGGCTTCTTTTCTGGAGCTAAGGTGTCATTCTTCGAGTTGTCATTCTATAGGAATGTATGCAGAATACAGGACGAGCCAGGAAGGTGAATTATCTAAGGGGAGGTCTGTGGATAATGTCTTAGAAGTCTGAATATGTGAATTAGTGCGCAATTAGCACGTCATCGCGTCCTTACACCTTTCAGTAGGAGTAAAGATGAAGAGATGTACTGTATCTATTGTGGGGGTTGATAATTGAAGGTCTCGGGTAGTATCGGAGCCACACATCGTGTTTTCCGGAATTCCCAGAGTGAGAAAAAGCCTGGAAAATGCATGTGTGGAAACTATGGGCGTTCGCACTGCGAGAAAGTGACAGTCTCGCAGCCGTTCCAGAATTACACCCGACCTCCAAACGGGTGCGCCTGTCTCTGAGCCCATACTGTACGTGCCCGAGGGAGACGTCGGGGTGAGTTTTGCTGCTGTGGAGGTGTAGCGCTTTGTCGGTAATCGATCGCTGTGAGCGACGGTTTTACTCCGGAGAACATGCTGGAAGCCGCGAGACGTCCGCAGCCCTCGTCTCCCCACTCCTCTCCTCCTCTTCCTCGTGTCCTGTCGGCATTCCCAAATCAGACGTGTCCTTCAGAGTAACCGATAAATAACTGTGAGTCGGCCTGTTCCATTTTCTCTTAACTCTACTGTACTGTCCGGAATGAGGCGGGTTTTCGAAGACAGTCCCGAGTGGCGAAGTCGGCTCCCTGGCTGGCGCTGTCCGAGGTGCTGAAGTCTCTGAGGTGTGGCGGCGCCTCTAGTTTGAAACGTGCTTGAAAAGAGCGCTGCCTTCTTAGGACGATTAAGACTCCCTTGGCATAGCGGTAGGCGATACAATTCAGGTTTTTCGAACGGTGGGTTGGTTTTGCAATCGTTGAACTGAAGGAGCCAAAACTGAATATGCTGTTGTTGTTGTTGTTGTTGTTGTTGTTGTTGTTAATCACAGCGCATCTCTGTTTACGGAGGTGCGACAGGTGTTCAGCGCGGGGCGGCACGGCGGTGCAGGGGTTAAGCGGCGCTGGGATCCTGCGTTCGGTTCTGGGCCTGGGGTGCTGTCTCTGTGCGGAGTTTGCATGTTCTCCCCGCGGTGGTGTGGCTTTCCTCACACGTGCCCTGGTCTCCTCCCAGCGTCCAGAGGGACCCCGGTTGGCTTATTGAAGAAGTTGGTACCCGGTGTGCATGTGTGTTTGCGTCTGTCCGCAGCCCCTGCGTTGTGCCTATTGCTCTGCTTGTACCCAGCTTCCCCGAGACCCAGGATTGGAAGAACTGGTTATAAAATGAATAGAGCCTGCACTTGAAATGGGCTTTACTGTACAGTGGGGGTGTTTATTTTTTTATCACGACAATCCCACACGTACACTTTCTTTAGGTAGTCGTGGATTTATTCGTGTTTCAGAACCCAGGACCGTTTTAATCCACCTGGGGGGCTGAGGAGCTGGTTACGTTGATATCCGACAACACACACACGCATTTTCCATGGGGAGACTACCCGGAAGTGTGTTTAAAAACCGAGAACGGGGAACGGGGGGCGCTACATTTACCCAAAGGGGTGTGGGAGTCTGGAACAAGCTGCCCCGCCGCATCTGTGATGCCGGTACCCTGGTTTCTTTGCAGAAACAGCTGAAAGAGATCTTAGCTACTAACTATCAAATGGGGCTAGACTGCCGTTTCTCCTTGGTAACCAGTCTTTTTCCCTGATCAAAGCCCAGTGGTTTCTCATCTTGCCTGCTGGTATCTCTAATGAACACCTCCGGTTTGTAGCTGAATGTGTCTCCTCTCTAACCCCCTACCCTGCGTGCCCAAATCCCTGGACACGGCAGAAACAAATCTAACCTTTGAAGCCGAGAATAATTGATGTGTAGACCTCCGCGAATTCCCTGTACGTTCATTCCGTAAGACGACGTGATTTTACTTGTCTTCCCCGGCCGGAGGACTCGAGAGGGGTTCTCTATGACACCGATCTTGTGAAAGTGCTGAATTTTACAGTTTTATTTTTGTTGCGGTCTTTCTCGAGAAAATAGTCTCAGCTGCCTCCGCAAGGCATTAAACTGCGGCGGCTTAATTGTAGTTCTGTGTCTGACCTGACAGTCTCCGGACTCCGAGATACTGAGGAGAGTCCTTTCTCTCTCGTATCAGAGACACGATCCTCTGGCTGAACTCTCGCATGACCGGTTTTGTATGAAGAGAACCACACGTCGTCCAATGCTATTCAACACCGATTGTGAAACCTTTTTTTTTCTCTTGATTTTATATAAATATATTCATTTTCTGGACAGTTTACACTTCGTGTGTGTATGAATAGGATGTATTGCTTTGTTAGTACGTGCAAAATAATAAGGTACCACACTGTCACGCTAAAACACAATGAATATAATTAAACTGTTTTACATTGGTGGGACTCCAGGTTCAAGGCCAGACCTGGGGTGATGTCTGTGTGGAGTTTGTATGCTCTCACTGCGTTTGTGTGTGTTTCCCCCCTTGCAATACACCAACGTTATAATAGGATAAAAATTTAATAAAACATTCTTAAAAAAAGGTGTATTTTTAATGCTAAAGCTTAGCAAGCGACAGGCGCGTAATGGAGTGAGCGAGCAGGGCACGCGCGTTCCATTATCTCGGCCACTTGACCGCCGGATCACGCTGAGCAGAGGCGGCCGGGCGGGGAGCGGAGAAACCGCACTCTCAGAGTAAATAACAGCACAGATGCGGCTTCAGAGCCGGGGCGAGATGAGCTCTCCAGGCTCGCTGCATTATGAGAGAGATTTTTTTTTTTAACTCCTACCTGTCAACAGGAGCCCTGTTACACAACGCCGCCTTAACCGTGCCTGTGAGCGAAAACGGTAGCGCCCAGCATGCTTTAGAAGTCATTAATGTTTTACATCGATTGTCTGCCTGATGTTATGAGGTTCATTGTAGAGTTAACCTCCATATGTTTCTGTATATCTCACGAACGCACGCACGAGTGGCCGATTCAACAAGTGTAGAGACAGCGTCATTAGTTTCCAAGGATCCCACATACCGCAGTAGACACAGAAAAGCAAGACCAAGGTATTTCTTGGCCCTGTTAATTCACGATGTCTGCCGTCGGTGCCAGTGTTGCAAAATATAGGAGACACAGTAGGAAGTATAGTCTCTGGAAGGGATAAAACTCAAGACATACCGTTGTCTGACAAGAGTCAGAGAGGATTCTCTTTACACAGCTGAAATGCAAAGTCGCCATACACAGATGTATTATTATTATTATTATTATTATGAGGGTTGCTTTTAGAATAAAAATGCCAGCTCTCAATTCCTGTCTCAAACCTACTCGCACGGTTCTGTATTGATTTGATCCCTGACTGCATCATCATATCTAAGATTCAGTCTGCACTGTTCTGAAAAAGGTACTGCTTTGCTAAGGATACACTTACAGCTGAAGTATCTTTCATATCTCAGGCAATAAGGATCCCAGGAAACCATTCATTTTTCTTTTTTACAAGAGCAGGTATATTAGCCCTTGTGCTAAAACCTAAAACATCCATTCCCTGGCTAAAAAAAATCCATTCCCTGCCCCTGTGTTAACCCCTCTGCATTAAGACCACGATGCTAATCACAGCATGTGCTTCTGTTGGGATGATGTTTTCAATGAGACTTGAACAGCAGAACATTACATGCTTCAGCATCGTGTCTACACCCATCACGAGAGGGCTCCGAGACTTTCCACACTGGCTGCTGGCCTTGTGCTCTGTGCCTGTTCCCTGAGCAGCGCTCTACTGGAAACCCTTCGGCTGCTGGTGGTAATTACACACCAGGGATGCACGCTCTTCCAGGAGACACTGAGAGCTGGCAGAGTCTACCTGCCTCATTTACAAGCTACAGTGTAGCAGAGTGTGACTCCATTCCCTTCTGTAGTTTTATGAGATGCTCTTTAAAACTTTATTCTTCACAGAGGGGAGCTTTAAAACTGTGAAAAAAAAATAAACAGTCATTTCCTTATACCCCATTAACGACCCTCATAATCTGTATTTAAAGATGATAAAATCGAAAAGGCCACTATATTACCCCCCTTCCCCCACTGTTTCAAACAAATTGACTCTCTCCTCAGCAGGTAAACTATGGCTGACTTGTGACCCTCCCTAACCCTCAGATGTGCAGCCTGTTGAAAAAGAGTATAAGTAACTGTGCAGTCCACTCCTATTTGCATGAAACAGTTCCCAAATCCCCTCAAATACAGCAGTTCAGGCTGCTTTTAGAGAAGCAGCTTTCCGAATATTGCAGTGAGTGTAGTAACTACACTTATTTGTGAAATAAAACAAGGGTGCTTTTATTATGCCCTAAACACGATATGAGTCGTGGAAAATCTCGGGCATCATAGTCCCTGTCTGTAAGCTCTCTGAGCTTACTTTATGTAGAGTTCAACACGTTTAATCAGGGTTGGCATATTGTAATGACCCATCATTCATCATTGTGGGATTGACCTTTAAAAGACAAAAAATAAACTGAGGTAAAGCTCTGACTTTGCTCGGATATGTTAAGTATTAATGTCAGATATAAACCGGGCACCTTGTACGATACAGTAAAAACAGTTGGCGTGCATACTGCCACGTTCATGCTTTAATCTAGTCATTGGTGGCTTCATTTCAGCTGTGGTTTTATTGTGAATTCATGCTTCACCTGGCTGCTTAATTCTAGATCACACCCTGCAGCGCTGCACTGCAACACCTGCGCCCGATTCACAGTGGGGGCGATGGGGGTGGAGGTGGAGTGTACTGTTATATAAAAGGAATAACCCAGAGCTCACTGATTGACTATCCATCCAATTCTTATCTGCTTCTTCCAATATAGGATCTCGGCTTCAGGGTGGCAATAGAGAGCAATGGGCACAGGGCAGGGTACACCCTGGACAGGGTGCCAGT